TATTTTTATGTAATAAAATTACATTGTGCATTAAAAGTTAATGATAAATTATATTAATAGATAAATAAAAATTCAAATTTTAAGTGTGAAATTTGTGAAAGTAACGAGTTGAAGATTATTCTAGATTCCCAGCATCACAAAAAAAGTGTAAATATACATTTTCTTTTTTTAATATTATATAAATTATAAATTAGTGATATGTTTGAAATATTTAGTATCAGAGTTTTATGTTTATTTTTGGATTCTTATGGTAGCTTTTATTGTTTCTTGCATATTCAATACATTTCTAAAAAAAGTTTTGATAAAAAATGATTACTCGAAAGGACAAAAGAAAAAGAAAGAAACGATACAAGATCAGCTACAAACTATAATTGTTTATTGTTCAAACAAGAAGTGTTCCTTATAATTGCACTTCCTGTACTTTCCGTTCTTTTTTTCTCCAACGCACAGTTGTATTCCTTTCACATTGCAAGTAAGGGAATCGATTCTGTATCTTGAAATGAGGTAAAAATATAATTATAAAAGTAAGCGAATTTACTAGAATACTGATTATTATTTCATTGGTCAATACCTGGTAAATTTGCTCACTTTTGTAATTTTCACCTTATTTGAAGATACAGAATCGACCCCCAGAAGGTGTAAATCGACACGTCAACACAAAGAACAGATGAATTCGCGTTCGATTATCCAAGATGGCGCATTTCTCGTCGATTTATTGCAGTTTGCTAATTTGTTATTGCCGATAATGGCAGTAATTCGCGCATAGGTTGCGAATTGGAAGTTTGGAACTTGGAAATCGAGTAGCAGTCAATAGCAGTGATAAGTGGTAAGTACAATCGTATAGCTTGATGGTATCCGGTGCGTTTGCATTTGACGGTGCAGTATTTATCGCTCAATTAAAAGTATCTCTCGTGATTAATCGCATGACTCGGCTGCTTGACGCTCGCAGAAAAGGTGACAATCTTGACAACAGATGAGAAGAACAGGAATCGCGTATCGTCGAGTGTCGTCGCGAATGCAGCCGCACCGGACCACTGTTATCCAATATATGTATGTATGTACTACTGTAAATTGACATTCGGCTCGTCCTGTACAGTGGTACGCGGTTCAGGATGGGCTTCCAAGACGTTATGTATACGGCAGTCACTATGCCGTTTAATGTTATTCACAAAACGAGTGCGGGGGCTGCCTCGTATGCTTGGGATGCGGCTACGTCGGTAAGCTTATGGCAATGTAGCATGTCTAGTCTCATAGTCTTGCAAAACGACAGAGATCCCACGCCGAGCTTACATCTCATGTCTGCTGTTAAACCTACCTCTCCTAGGTGATGTCTCCTCCATATATATTTTCTTAATACTACGTGCATATTTGTTTACATTTATACTCTGAAACTTAATCAGTGATTAACTTGTTGAATAATCAATAATACTTAAATTGTTTTGATAATTTAATAATATGGATAAAATTATTAATTTTTTTATTATTCACATGTGAGAAAAAGATTAAACACAATACATTATTAGAAGTTATATTATAAATAATTTTGCTAGTTGAAAAAAAACAAAGAAAAAAGAACCAAAAAATATTATATAAAAATAGAACAGAATAAGTAGACAAAAAAATGATGTCTTGAACATTGGGAGAAACAAGATATTTTTATTTCTTTTTGCATTGTTTCTAAGTTTAACGCACTGTGTGTCCGAAACTCCTTTTATTTCAACTTTTGGCTTAAGGTCATACTCTGCGTTCTCCATTCATTTATAATCGAATGATTCCCATTCCTTTTATCAAATTGACACCAGAATCATACAATAATTGACTATAAGTAGTTATTTTTCCTTTCCGTTATACATTATAATTGTAATGTTACGATAACTAATTTTATGTTATCAGCGGTTATCTTAAAGAGCGAAATATTTATTGTATTATGTTTTGTTATTTATTATGTAAGTTTTTATTATTAAGAATGATTCGATCGCGATCGAAAGGTCTATTGCTAGCATTCTTTATTAAAATTTCAACTTAAAACATTTTCGTTTCCTTTTTGTTTTTTTTTTGTATTTTCTATTTATCCTGTTCTGTTTTTATATAATAATTTTTGGCCCTCTTTTTTCTTTGTTTTTCTGAAATTTATGAGCCTTATTACTAACCAGATAATTTGCTAGTTGATTCATTATTAAGTTTGGAGCTTGATGAAAGTAATTGCTCTAATATCCGTTATACCAATGTAATTTAATTTCTTCTCAATTTAATTAATTTATTTCCGAGTTTTAGAATTAAATAAGAATAAAAAATATGTTAAACAAAGATTAAAGTTTATGTACATTGATAGAAATTAAAAATGAACATAAGAAATGTTTTCTTTTCCTCTTTTTACACATATATACAGGATGTCCCGCGAGACTTCTCCAACTGTCCACAGGAAGGTAGATGGGATCGAAATAAACATAAAAATCCTATACCGTTTAGCGATATTCATAATCGAGATATTAATGTTTGTAATTGTATAGCTAAACAATTGTAGCGGCGCGCTTCCTCTCTTACGTCTCCAATGCGCTGCCGATGCAGTCTATATTTGAAAAAGTGGGCCGGGCTATACTTCCAGCAGCCGGAGCTTTTCTATCTCTCATTAGTACAATTGCAAACATTAATATCTTGATTATTACGATTATTATTATCGCTAAATG